CTGCTGCTACTATTACTACTACTACCACCACGAATACTACTACGAATACTACTACTACTACTACTACTACTACCACTACTACTACTACTACTACTACTTACTACTACTACTACTACTTACTACTACTTACTACTACTTCTTCTTGTTGAACTTCTTCTTTTGCTTCTTGCTGTCCCTTATTTGTGTTGGAACCAGTCGGAGGAGAGGCTCACTGCTCTACTGGCTAGCGCCCCATCAGGACAGGAAGCGGGGACGGACTATGTTCAATATGGGATTGTCCCTAGGGCAAGGTCTCTGCATGGACTTTGAAGTCTTCAAACAGATTCGATATGGACTCTCTGGGATTTTCAAGGCTGGAGATCACCCTGAAGCCCAAAGAGCAGAGAGCTCAGACTACAGGAAAATCAGTGGGGGTCAGGTCACTTTGACTTCGCGCGGTCCGTCAACTCCTCGGAGAGGCTGAGCAGTTCCCTAATGATTACAAGTTTGACGCTCCAAGAGGTTGAAACAATGAGGCCAGTGAGATAGCAGTAGTAATCTTGGGTGTGTAATCCTTTCCTCCTACGAATATTTCAAACCCTCATAAGCAAATACATCAAGGGGCCTAATCAATGATCCTGAAGAGCGCGTCTCAAGGAGGAAAACTACCTTTAAAAGGGGCCACCTAATGATGAATTGAGGTCTTTAAGGGCGTAGGAATCAGAAGGAAGTAGGGATCCCCTTGATTTCCCAAGTTTTATTGTTTCATATAGGCTGTAGAAAGGAATGTATATAAACTCTAGATGCAAGTTTAATGTATTTGCGTTCGATGTTCACTGGTTCTAAGTAGAGTTGAATTGACTTAACACGATCTTAAGCCGACTTTTCAGAATCAGATCTCAATTGGTTTTAATATTGCGCGATTAGATTCTAGTTAGGTTTCACTCGCTTCTAAGGACATGCTGATCAGATTTCAATTGATATCTGGATTCTTTATCTTGATTGTTTAGATATCAGTTGATTCTAATTAGGCATTTCTTCTTGGATTGTAATTAGATATCAAGTAGATTCCAATTCGAACTAGAGGCCACCTCATCTACTTGTTTTAATAGACTTCCCGCTTACATTAAATAAGCTTGTGGTTGTTGAATTGGGGGGGGGAGTCGTGTAATACTGGCCGGGCAGTGATTAGGGATAATTGGGCCTAAGTAAGGCTCATTATCAAGGCAAACCTGGACGGCGGCAATAGGGGGGAGTAGTTGGAGAACCCCTGCTAAAACTGCCAAAGGCGATAGGGAGCAACCCGCAAAAGCTCTCCGTAATAGTCAACAACTCAGCAATTGTCACGCAAGGGGTGTTTCTCGCTCCTGTTTCTAGGCACCCTAATCCCAGTTTTCTTTTCCTTTTGGTTCTGCTTTAGGCTAACACTAGCATGTCCAAGTCATTTACCATTTTCTTTTCCATGTGATTCTCCACTATTGGTGTAATATGTCTGGAATTCAGATCCATAAGGAGCTTTGAAAAAGGCTTTGAAAAAGGGACCCCAGAGTGTTGCCCGTTGGTGGACCAGATCTTTGTAGCAGTCCCTACAAATCTGCCAACATGTAGTAGTTTCTCTCACCAATTCCCAACAATTTATCAGGAAGAATTACTCAGAATCCCGGCAACCTGCACCGCCTCGCCGCTGGGCGTGAAGCGGGGAGTTCCCTGCAAGCATGCGGGTTGCTGATGGATTCAGTCATCGAGGATTTCAAGGCGCGATGAGTTCAGGGGATAGGTCTAGGTCCCAGGGTTTGCAGGAGTTTGTCTGCGCTCTCTCTCAGGTCCGCGCAAACGTTTTGCAGGAGTTAGAAGAGGCATAATAAATGCAGCATACGGAAATGACAACAAAAGCAACGATGCAGATGGTATCAGTGTAAAGCAATATCAAACCAATGACAGCGAGCGCAACTTCCGTGACAACTCCGACTGAGCCTCGCCTGCTTGACTCGCTGTTTACTGGGCATTCACAATCCCAAAATCCATGTAGGGACCCTACACTCTGCGAAATACCCCCAACATCTTTTTTCCTTCAATACTCTAGAGCTGCCCCCAGCGTGACTTCGAGCCGATCCACCTCCCAGCGCTGTTCGAGCAGTGAGCGCAATCTCTTCTTCAGCTCGCGGTTCACAGCTTTGTAGTACTGGTTGTCCCCTCGGCTTTATGTTGAATCGGCTGTCAACCCCTGAACCGCCTCAGAAAGGTGACTAGGCATCTGGCGCTTCACTTGCTCCACCTCCGACACTACATTCAGAAAACGCAACGCTAGAGTGCAAGCTGCAGGACAATGTTTCCTTCATGATCTGCGCTTGAAGCAATACTTCAACATCATTTGCGCCATGGTTAAAGGGAAATCTTCGCTGATTGAGAAGGCAAAGCACAGTCGCATAGCAGCCCGGCTTTTTGCGTCTAGCTCGACTCTATGCAGCACAGCCTCCGAGAAGAAAGGCAAAATAGACAAGGCAAAGTGGGCAAGTGAAACGTCTGCAAATCTTCAAGGCATGTCTTTGCCTTTTGGTACGGAGCCTCCTGACATTGCCGGCGAGAAGAGCTTCGGTGGTAGCGCCACCTTTTTGGGGAGCTTAACGTTTGCTCCATTGATGTTGGAGGACCCCAGGAGCAAGTCGACCTTTGCATGCATCTTCTGCATCTGACGATCAATCTTGTTGAGGTCGAAGCTGCGCGCATACCTAAGCAGTTTTCGGGTCTCAGGGTCGCAGAGTTTCGCCACTTGTCTTAGGGTTTGGGTCTTTTTAGGGTTTAGTGTTTAGACCTCTTCACAGGTACCTTACCTAAGATTATGAAAAGGAAGTACAAGAAACCATTGAGACATCCTTTCCAATTCTGCTCGGGATACCCTTTCATGCGCATGATACCACCCTCAAACTCCTCTAACGAAATCTCACCGTCACCATCATCCAACCTTGACTGTTCTGGACTGCCTTGCTGGAATAGTACTCTTTTCGTACCTGCTAACTAAACACAACTCACATATCAGCTGCGAAATGGGAGCACCCAAAGGTCTGCAAAGCAACATTTGAAAGAGGCCCACAAGATCTGTGGTCTCAATCTCAAGCTGCCCAAGCCAAACCTGAAGTCGAGGATTCTCCAGGAGATTCGCGAACTCTTCTATGTCAATTTTGCCATCGCCAGAAGCATCGACTTGCTTGAAAAGGTTTGTCAACCTCCCAGGGCATGTGCTACAAGATCGACAAGGTAACAAGGTAGCTCTAAAGATTGCAAGGCCGTCTTATGGATATGGGAGGCAGCGTTGCGGGGGAGATGCAAGGATTGTCATGCACCTGCGGCGGTAGGTATCTTGAGCCTTCTGCTTCTCAGCAGCCAAGAAATCATCATCAGCCTGAGCTACCTTCATTGTGCTCTGCACGAAGACCGCGTTCACCACGTTCCTCAGCTGCTCGTTCGACCCCGGCGAAGTCCACTACCCCGAAACCACACAACAAGGTCTGAACACTGCTGTGCTACTGGATGAACTTTATACAATTAGTGGGTGACTGCCCACAGCCCCCTGTTCAGCCCCTAGTTTTCTCCAAGAATCAGAACTGCAAAGCCCACGAAGCACCGGTAGATGATAAACACTGTGGAATACCATTCGCTGACGTTGTCCATCAGCACTCTACATGCTGGTGCCCAGTTCGCAAAGAGCACTTCAAACATCGTAAGCAGCGTTTTAGAGAAGGTCCCGTAGTACCGGAATACCTCAAACTTTTTCACCTCATCCACATCAGGATCAACCATGAACTCACTGACCATGTACGAAATTGTCATCCCAGCGCTGCATTGGATAAGCATCAGGAGGACCAAGGACCAAAAGAGGATGCGAACACTAGCCGCAATGCATTTCAGCAGTAGCTGCAGGGATTCAAGGACCTGCGACATCTTCACAACGCGCAGGGCTCTCAGGAGCTTCCCCAAGCGCAGCATGCGCAAAAACGTAGGACTGATCGGCAGTGCGGCTGCGAATAGCTCAGCCCATGAGCTACAAACAACAATAAAATCTATCCAATTGAGCCAGTGCTTGAAGAAAGCAAACCAGCGTATCCAGAAGAGGCGGATCAACATCTCTAATGTGAAAATCACCGCAAAGGTCACATCCCCGACCCAGAAGAACGTCTCCACATTCGGCCAGTAAACGTGTGCAGGTTGAAGGTACGAAGGATACTTGATCGTGTAGCCAATATGTAAACCGTGATACTGCAGCTGCGCAGCCATAAGAAGGAGGTTGAACAAAAGCAACACGGCAATCCCCATCTCAAAGGAGTTTCCCATAAAGACATTGGAGAAGCGCTCATAGAAAGCCTTGTCTTCCTCCCTGGTCCTCACCTCCACTAGCTCGGAGTCTTCGCCCAGTTCTAAGGCCTTCTGGCTCGAGTGAAGAGATGCAAGAGACAGTAACGAGTTGGCGAAGCTTGCGGCCGAAAATCCCTTCTTGAGCTTGGCTTCCTGCCTGGGCTGTGAGCTAGTGTGGGAAGTGTGTGAGTTGCGCCGCTTCTCGTCTGGAACTGCCGCGTCTTCTTGCTTCGCCTCCTGGCCAGGCTTCTCTTCGTCGTTGTCAACCATGGTGCAAGACTCCCTGACAAGACCTCCCGGCATCTCGAGCACGGCACGAGAGTCCTGTCGCTGGATGGGATAAACCGGCGGCGACATGCGAGGAAAAGGCTGCAGGGCATTGATTCTGCACAAAGCCGAAACTTCAGCTCGAAGCTTTCTGGTCTCTTCCAAGTGCAAGGCCTCAAGCTCTGTCAGCAATGCACGGAATGCTTGTGAAGTATACTCAGGCTCGCCAGGTGATCTAGGCGTTCCCGGCTCTGCATCAGCCATCTCTCTGCTGGCTTTAACTTGTTCCATGGCACAAAAAGCTTGGGCAGCGAAGTTCTGCGACCTCAAAACAGCGGCCCTGCCAGGTTTCTGGTGGCCACTCTAGGTATTCGGCGGCACTTTGAAAATCTTGAGCCCCTGGCATCAGCAACTGAAGCTCGGAAGACTTGCTGCATTTGACCGGAAGACCATTGGTTGGCACAGTGCTCTCCATCTCTCAGAAACCAACTCATATTCTGTCTACCACCCCCTGCAATCTCAAAGTTGATCGCGATACATGCCTGCAATCAGGGTAACCCAGCCCAACCTGAATTCAAACCCATATGAGCACCCCGGCCACCACCTCCTCCACATCCCCAGACATGCCAGACGCCGATGCAAAGCTTGGCTCAGATCGAGAGTCGCTCTGCTGGGCCTTGGACATGATCCCTATATAATCCCTATATAGACCCTATATGATATAGTAGCTTCCATTTTCTTTTCCATTATCCCTAAACAACCCCAATATGTACCCTAGCACATTATTCTACAGTGCTAGAGCTTGCTTGCCAGCAGCTGCGAACCTTTTTGCAGTTACCACGGCTTGAGCATGCTGCTTGGATTGCATCGAATTTCCCGAAACAACAGTCCACACAAAACTAAGGCTGGGGCATGCCGAAAACTGTCTGAATTTCTCAAGAACGTCGCAATGTACCACTAAGAGTAGGTCATCCCCACAGTGAGTTACGCATCGGTTATAATGCGGTAAGTGGCCGCTTCGTACACTGTAAGTTAGACGAATTCCAGTTGCTCCTCTAGCAGCCAAGGGACAGAGAGCTGGCCTGGGTCCGAACATGAAAGCAGGGCTTCAGCTTTCAACGCTAGAGCAGCTGGGGAACTTAAGAAGGGACTGGTGCCCTCGCCCCCTTCGGAATAAGGCACACACAAGACAAGCGATGCAAAGGCGATGCAATGCATGACAGAGAGGAAACGCAAGTGCAGCTCACATAATTTCGCCGAAAAGCGAAGAAGTTGGCGGATTCGCGCTTCGTATTCCTTTGTCACCCGCGCTATGGCCTTGCAGCTTACAGAACGGTACGAAGCATGGAGCGCAAAGTCACTGTCTACATGTCCAAACTCCTACCCACAAACGCAAGCAGCCCATCCAGTCAGTTTATGAGCAGCACTTGTAATTTGCAACCTCAAACTGTACTGTCACGTCTTTCTGCGACTGTCTGCCTGTCCATTGGCAACATCCTGTATCCCCCGTTTAACAAACCACTCCACAGTGCACAAGTCACAATGCAGGCACCAACACTGCCTTGGTGGCATTGGAATCTTGGCGCCGGAGCACTTGCTGCAGCTCGGCGATCTACACGACGGGTCAAGGTCCGTTTGGGACTTTCCCACAATTGAGGGACCCCAATACGTAGGGACCCACAAAAAAGTACCTACCCCCCAATTTTGGGAAACCCCTGTTTTGGGCTAGGTTAATCCTCATCTGTTGGAGTTTTCGTTTCCGGCCGTGTAGGAAGGGCAACGTGATACTGCTAGTAAGCATGGCTACTAAAGTAGGAGTAGGACGCAGCGTCTCCTTTCTCACAAGTTTGTGCCACACCTTCACTTGCGTCCCTATTATGTATATACACACATATTCCCCTATACATATATATCATATACACATTTACATATATATATCATATATACATATCATGTGTATATATATATATCATATATATATATACTACATATATATATATATACATATATATATATATCCCTGCATATCCCCATATTATACCCCCACACATCCCTTTTGCATCTGGCTTGCCACGACTCTGCCAGGCAAACAACTAACCCCGTCACCTCATTTAATGAGGAGGCGTCTCATGCGCAAGGGCCAGCTGTCATACATCCCTAAAACCCATATCTCCCTATACTCTAAACTCCTAGTATCCCCCTTAATAAGCCCTATAGTAGTTCCCTATATAGTCCCCTATATAACCCTCTTTAAGGAGTTTAGACTATAGCTCATATCTCCCTATACTGGCCCGGGCCTGACGCGCCCGCTCCTGCAGCTGCGCCTCGGCGGCCTCAAGGCGCTGCCAGTGCCTCAGAGATCCCTTTAGGGTTTTGGGATCTAAGGTTTAGGGTTTTGGGTTTTGGGTTTAGGGTCTTGGAGTTTAAAGGTGTGCCAAGCCTATGCGCGGGTGCTTGCTTCCCGCCGGACCCACCCGCTGCTCATCATGTTTCAGAGTTCCCTCTCTTTATCTTTCCTCCTTTTTTTCCTTGGACACATGCACAACCACAACGCTCGGGTTAGTGAGCATCATGCCAACCTGAGGCATATCATTGAATTCGCGTGGAAGTTAAATTGCAAGCGAGAAGGGTGCAACTTAACTTGCACGCCCAAAAATAACAAATCCCCGGCCCTGGGGGAGTCTATCAATTCGATTCTCGGCCAAAATGACCTGGGCCAACATGGGTTGCGAACATGCTGCAGAAGAATGATGTTCGATGAACATGTTTGCGTGTATTCACAACCCATGTTGGCTGGGAATCGTATTGATAAACTCCCCCTAGGGCCTCCAGGCGATTTGTCAAGGCTTTCACTCATTCCTCCGCAGTGTTTGGTGCATAATCTGGGCCTTTTTGGCTTCTTTTTTTCTTCTTCGGCTCCAGGGCCCAGATTATGCACCAAACTACGTGGCTGAAGAAGAAGTGAAGGAGGCGCCTGGAGTTGGGCGGACCCTGAAGCCCTAGAAGGCACTGCCTGGAAAAAAAGCCTTTTGGGACCCTCACCTGATGAGAAAGCCTGTGTTCCAGGATTGCTTGGGAGGCCTTAGGCCTCTGGGCAGGCGCCTGCTTTCTGGAGGGTCCTGGCACGGCCCCTCAACACCCCCCTGAAATCTCTGGCTGGGTGGAACCCCCGAAAAGACCGGATTTTGGATTTTGGGATTTTGGGTGTTGGATTTTGGGCTTGAATTTTTGGCTTTGGATTTAGGATTGTGGGTTTGAGATTTTGGATTTGGAATTTTGGGTGCCGGGCTTTGAATTGTGGGTTTTGGATGTTGGGCTTTGGATTTTGGGATGTTTGGTTGTGGATTTTGGGTGTTGGATTTTGGGCTTTGGATTTTGGGTTTTTGGTTTTGGATTGTGGGTTTGAGATTGTCGGTTTGGGATTTTGGGCTTTGGATTTTGGGTTTTGGATTTGGGATTTGGGATTATGGGCTTTGGATTTTGGAAGTGTGGCTTTGGATTTTTAATTTTGGATTTTGGGTGTTGGATTTTGGGCGTTGGATTGTGGATTTTGGGTTTTGGATTTGGGGTTTGGGATTATGGGCTTTGGATTTTGGAAGTGTGGCTTTGGATTTTTAAATTTGGATTTTGGGTGTTGGATTTTGGGCGTTGGATTGTGGATTTTGGGTTTGGATTTGGGGTTGAGATTTTGAGTTTGGGATGTTGGATCTTGGGTGTTGGGCTCTGAATTGTGGGTTTTGGGCGTTGGACTTTGGACTTTGGATTTGGGGCTTTGGATTTTGGGTTTTTGATTTTAGGTTTGATTGTCGGTTTGCCGCTTGCATGGCCAATACAGCATCGCAAGGTTCAATACTGGGAGTCCACTACACAAGACCGGACTGGGAAAAGCGTTCTGTGACGGTCCGGAAGCATTAACACGTTCTGTCACAGTCCGTTCACTGCAGCTGGAGAACCCCGACGACTAAATCAAACCCAGGAGACTACCCCAAACAGCGATTTGAGCAGAGCTACAGTGAATGAACAGTGAAGCTACATCGTCTCGCCCAATGACTATGCAACTGACGCAAGAAAGTTGGTGTACAAATTGTGCAGTCAGCCCGTACGGGCACCGCTCTCGCCAGCATCAGCACGGGCACCGGGAACTCAGAAATGACAGATTGCCGCATGCATGTCAGAACTTGAAAAATTACGTGGCACATCTCCGGTCCAAGCGCAATCCTCGCCAGAATCATCAGTGTCATCTCAAACTCAGAAATCTTGGCCGCGTCCCCACGCACGAAGTTGGTGCAGCTATAGTTGCCGCTGAGAGCAATTGGGTTGTCTCATAGCTCGTAAGGGCAAGAGGCAGGGTCCTGAACATCATGCATTCTAGCAGCTGCAGCTGCGAGCACTTGGCTGTTCCATAGCTTGGCATTGTCACCACCCGAACTATTCATTTCTCACAAGCCATGTTTATTGTTGAGAGAACACAAATGGTCTGATCGGCCATCAGGGGCATGGACCGAACACTCAGCTCCTCAGCATGTGCATGGCTAGCTTCGAAAACCACGCGCCATGGGCATGAGCGGCCTAACAGCGTATTGATTGCAAGCCCAGACCTGCATAGTGCCAGTTCACAGGGCCGCATTGCAAGCTGATCTTCTTTCCGTGCAGATTCTCAGGAGTGCGAAGGCTAAAACCCTGCTACAGGTGGGCTGTGCTGTGGCGAGTCCCAGCGTGGGCTGCACTACGCAGTGGTGACCACACTCAGCTCCTCAGCATGTGCATGGCTAGCTTCAAAACCACGCGCCACGGGCATGATCGGCCTAACAGCGCATTAATTGCACAGGCCCAGTCCGTGAAATTCTCAGGAGGGCTAGCTTGTGCTGCGGTGCGTCCCAGCGTGGGTTTCCATCTGCACTACGCAGTGGTGATCACACTCAGCTCCTCAGCATGTGCATGGCTAGCTTCGAAAACCACGCGCCACGTGCATGATCGGCCTAACAGCGCATTGATTGCACAGGCCCAGGCCTGTATAGTGCCAGTCAGAGCTTTACA